AGGAAGAAAACCATCTAGAAAGATGTTATATACTAAACATATAAACCCATTATGTTAACTGTATTTAATCATGTTGGCCTGAAGAATTGTATCTAAATTTTTTAATCATGTTGAGAATGAACTCATTGTATCAAACGTGTACCAGCATAGATAATGTTTTACAAACTACTTGTCTTCAAATAGTCAAGTTAAGGACATAGATGATGGTTTGAAATACCCCACCTGCATGAGAAACATTATATCACTGTGTACTTAGAGTGGTAGGTATCCACTTTCACTGTGTACAAACATGCTCTTAGTCTATGTTTGGGGAAAAGATTTGGAGTTTGCAATCAAAGATGAAACCAAGCACTGCTCCTGCTTCAAAATGTAGGTTTCAAACATACAGTTTTCTGCTTATGGTATGTTGCTATACTATACATTTTATATAAATTCCAATACATAAATAGCTGTTTGTTACTTCTTTTTTCTTTTCTAAATACAATTTCAGTAACAAAGAGGACTTATCTAGTTAGTTTTTATACACATCTCTTAAGATTATATTTATATGGCCAGCTGTGGGTAGAGAATGCAAACAGTAGGAACAGAATATCGAATTCAACATATTTAGAACAAGAAGAACAAGACAGTAGGAACAGAATATGGTTTTTCGTGGTTGTTTGGATCCATCAGGACAGGTCTTGATAAGTGAATTCCATAAAGGGAGTTGGCATCAAGTGTAATGAACTTTCAGTAGGAASTGATAAGAAGCTTCATTAATAACAGGATTACTATAGAAAAGAGTGAGCATCTTACATCATGTTCATCCAGCAGAAGATTTGCAGCCTTGAGGTCCCTGTGTATTATGTTATTCTGGTGCAGGTAGTTCATACCCTTTGATATATCAATTGAAATCTTGAGCAATGTTGGAAGCTTAAATGTACCCTTTTGTTTGTGTAAATAGTCACACACACTTCCCCCACTCATGAATTCTGAGTTCGACAAAAGCAAAAGATTATTAATCAACTGTGAAACAGGAAAGGTTTTAAAATTTTAAAAATCCTCCCTCTGTCCCATGAGAAACATTTGGCTTCACATAATGTTCTATGAGTGTGTTTCACTATTTCTCCATTGTCTTGAATGACCTCCAATAATGACAATAAAGGAATCTTGTCAACCAACCACAACCAATAGCATCAATAGGTTGAAGCAATGGCAATGGGAAAACAGATAATGGGACACAGGTGGTGGTCCATTATGAATCTGGACCTATCGGTACTATAAAAACCATATTTTTTGTAATTATTTTTAGATGTATATTATACTATATTAATTATATGGTGCCACCGTTTGAAAAAATTCTTGGGTCCGTCCCTGCTTAGCACACAGTAAATCTTATTGAACTTCATGTATATGGGCTCCCTTTTACAAATGTAATAATAAAACAATAGACCATTGATCTACTTTTGTTGTTTTTATCTAGACTAAGATGTATGCACAAACAAACAAAGAACCCCGTAAAGAGAGGAATGTTAACAGGTATGGCAGTTGGGTGTTTACCATCCAAAGCATAAAAATCAAAGAATAAGATCAAAATGGTCCAGACTCTAGAATACCAATGAATAATTTTTTATAACAGTTGCACATGTGTTCAAGGCTTATTTCAAGGATGTCAAGGATTTCTTACCTGAGAGCTTATCAACTTGCCAATCACCATAGATTCTGCAAACTATTTTGGGACATACAGCTTCACATCCCAACGTCTGTGGTGAAACTGTGATAAAAAATCAAAATATATTTCCTATAACTATTAAACATCAAACATATTATTAAAATACCTTAAATCAATTGAAAGCAAGCATCACATAACTGTACTCTTCAGGCCCTTCCTATATTCTTTCATGCGGCTAATCTAGGGCAAGATATCAGAAATTTTGAAGTCGCAATGACTCGGGATAAGCATACAAAAGGGAACTTGACTCAAGCTTGCAAGAATTTTAATTATGCCCTGATGTTGGTTCGTGAAACTACAGAATCACAAAATAAGGGAAAACTTAAAATCTAAAAGCATTAGTTTTTTGGTCCTAGGTAATAATATCATCAACCTTAATGCTACAGCAACCAGAAAAGATATATTATATGCATTTTACTGGGAGATTTGAACATAAAGGTCCATATGTAAGACATTAGGAAGGTTCTGCTAAATACACCTACAAATCAAAATGAAGTCACAATTACAATAAAGATGTTGATGAAGCCTAAATTATTTAATCAACAGGCAAGATGACAACAAGCTCAAGTGTTGTGGATGTTTTTAGTTCATTCTATCCATCAAAACAGCTTTTATAAATTGATAGATCCGAAATATAGATTATACATCTTTAGAAAGTAAGCCTGCAAACCAAATGAGTCCTTTGAGAATTTTAAAGAAGCAAAAGAGCTATTATCACCAAAATACCAGATACCTCAAAAGCTGAAAAGGGTATTACTAAACCATAATCTTTTGTTCAAATTCACATAGATCAAGAGGAACTATCACCGAAAAACATAAAAGAAACCACATGGGTTTGAGAAAGATTGTTTATTCAACCATTCATCTAACTTAAAGAAATTAACAATAATAGTTCAAGAAATCACATGGGTATGAGAAATATCGCAAGAAATTGAAGATAATAGTTCAAGAAATACCTGAGATACCAGCAGTGCAGTAGACAAGGGCAAAGATCATACCCCTAAAAGCCCAAGCAATCCCTTGAATACCAACAGTACCACACTTTGTGGGAGATTTAACAACACCCAAAAAGAAGAGAAAGTAATTAAAAATCTCATCAACAAAATTGAAATAGAAATCAATATCGCATACCTCCAAATTAAAATTGAAATGAAAATTCTAGGGTTTTGAAGGAATGTGAGATTAAAACAACAGGGAAGAGGGATACATGAAATCGGATATCTAATCGAAGTGATACATCAAAACCACTATTGTTGTGTCAAACGATGTCTGTGAAGAAAAAAGGTATCTGCTATCTAACACAAAATGTTTTGGTCGCATCTGAGAAAAATCACAGCAGAAGAAGAAGAAGAAGGAAGATTTTGGTTTTGGTGTTTTGGTCTCAGTCGCAGGCATAGATCAAAAGAGAAGAAACCGACCTAAATGGGTAATTTTATAAGTCTGATAAGAAAAGGTTAAGTTTGACCCAATTAAAATTTGATGTTGTGGAAATACTTGCATAAAAAGCTTGTACATTATGGGAGTGTTTGGGATTGCTTATTTAAAATAACTTATGTTTTTTTGTAAAAATGCTTATTAACTTATGTGGTATCAAACCAGAGTTTTGTAAAAAGTGTTTGGATTAGCTTATAGCGGTATCAAAAAGCAATAAGCTGATAAGTTGTTTTTTAGTGTTTGGCAAATTTTGTTTATATATGTAAAATGACCAAAAAGGACAATCTTTCATATTATTGACTTATGGAAGTGTTTGAGATTGCTTATTAACTTATTTGATTTTTTAACATGTAAAAATTTATTTTTCATCATTTACAATAATATATTTGACAAAAATCTATATTTTCAAGTATAAAACAATAAAAACAAATACAAAATATATACAAAAAAAACCTAACCCTAATCCCCCTTCAGCCTCTGCACCTAAATAAGCAGCCTTCTCATCCCCTTCTCCCCTCAATCTCCTGGTGAAGACCATCACCATCTCCAACCGCCATGTACCACCATCACCACCTCCAACCACTGTGAACCACCATCAATCTGMTGTGATTYTCGTCTATGCAGGAGAACGAAACCAACAAGATCGAGATTGCCGGCGACGATGAGACGGATGAGATTTCACAGGTGATCGGAACCAACAAGATCGAGATTGCCGGCGACGATGAGACCATCACCATCTCCAACCGCCATGGTTCTCCTCGTCTCTGTTAGGGTATAGAGAGAAAAGGTAACAGGGCTGCTGTGGTTCTCGTCTGTTAGGGTACAGAGAAAGGTAACAGGGTTAAAAGGGTAATCTGTCAAAAGTCGATTTTGATAAGTCAGGACGGTTTAACTTATCAAAAACTGTTTATTACCGGTTTGGCACCGGTATAAGCCGTTTCTTTTTTTCTCATCCAAACACTAGAAATAACTTATCGGCGGTACGGAACTGAAATAAGTTGATAAGCATCCTAAATAAGCAATCCCAAACACCCCTTATGTATAAGAATTTGTAATTAAAAGATTTTTGAAATTTTTGCATAAAATGGTAGTACTTTAGGCTTCAAGAGTTGTAATTAAGACTTTGTCTTAAATGCTTATATATGTAGTATAGATATATATATTTCAAAAAAACCCAAGAACATATTAATTCCGAACATATTATATAGTGCAATTTGGACAGTCTAACCCCAAAATATATAGTATATATATATATAAATAAATAACTATAAAATAAATCGTAAATATTAAAAATATTTTTTCACAGTATATATAGTATATAATAATATAATTAAGTCAAAAACTATTCAATATTAGACTCATTTCGAAGGTATTAACGAGACGATTATAATGGTATAACTTGTTAAAATAAAAATATATTTTTTAAACATGTTTTAATTGATATACGATTTTGTACGTTAATTTGATAAAGATTTAAAAAGGAACATTTAAAAATAAAGGACGTAAAGTAAATTAATTAACTAATTATAAGGATATAAAGTGGGTAGTATAAATGGTATCTTGATCATTTACTATTTTAAGACTTATATTTGATAAATTTGTTTAATAAAATAATATATATTACAAATAAGGTTATAATGATCATTTTATTATTGGAAAACATTTACCAAAAACATTTGATAAATACTCTTATCCTGGACAACAATTATTCTTACCCGGACAACATTTACCAGTTAAGAGTTGGTAAACGGGCCCTCCCATCTCATCGATTTCTCAAAATGACCAATTCCTCATATTTGAACTTAACATAGGTTCCAAGATAGTGGCCATTATAGCATCTAGAAAGAATTTGAGATTTTAAGATTGAATAATCTTTGATCAAACTCATCGGTCCTTAACGGGTTGCACCTACAACCAAGCTACCAGCAAAATTTGTTTAAAAAAAAATAATATTCCGATTACACCGAAAAAGACGACCCAATCGAATCTCAGCCACATCCATTCATAGTACAAATTCATAAGTCGAGTCGAAAAATGAAGGCTACTACTTCTATCCTCCAATTTGTTGAGATTTATTGAGGATTACTCCCTCGTATTTCACCTGGAACCACTTCATTGCATCGTCCTTTGTAACTCGATGCTGGATACCAACACGGGCCTTGCACCTGCGGCGACGACCAACACGGTAGCCAGGACGTTCTAGGACAACAAAGAAGTCCATACCATAGATACCTGTTGAAGGATCATACCTGGCAAAAGAAAAAATAATTTAAACTACATAGAAAGGGTAAAAAGGTAACTTTGATAAAAACAGTAAAAACAGGACCAACAGCAGCACCACACACGGCAGACCAAACGTCAAAAAAGTAGCCATTCAGACCTTTGGACCCGGTTATGGAGACCTGGTTGTGGACTGGTTTGGCTTTCCATAGTCTTTAAATTGTTGAACTGACCAGTTACGTAACTGTGCCCGATTGGTTAGGCCGTAACTGGTTATGGTCCAGACCCATTTCTACCTGGCAGGCTGGCATGACAAAATCATTCAGTCTAACAAAAGACGGTTCAATTTGGATAGATTATATGGACAAAACTCAACTTCCGGTTTGCTCACCATTGGTCATGAGTCCCCTCAAGATGTGTTTGTTACCGGAATAGGACTAGGCTAGACATAACAAAAAGTTGTCCCATGTTTAGCTCGATATTAGACTCGGAGATGATAGAACTCAGTGGGGCAAAAATGGACACCAAATTAACCATATCAAATTAAAACCCTAATATCTTCCCAAGTCTTTCACCCGCCCACCTCACTCTCGTCCGTCTACTAGTGTCCAATCCGGTCCACTTATCAAACCCACCAAAGGTTTGTGATTAACTCCAAGGTCTCGTGGGATTAGCCGAGGTGCACAAGTTGGCTTGGAAACCCACGCTTATCCAAAACATAAGGTGAACTTGTACAGTACTCAAACAACATATCATTTGTACCATATTTTCTACCCATCTTTGTGCCAAGTAGCAGCGATATAATAAGCTTGCAGAGCATGTAAGGGCCTTCCCAATATCAATTTTAACAAGCCTAAAAAGAGAATATGCGTTCTCAATAGAAACTACCACCATATACACTTTGGAAAATAAAGCTAGAGACATGGTGTAAACAGGTTTAGAATGCTTGTTTCTCAAGAGCCATGATGCAATTTTAAGTTCTTTTTATGTTTGATTTAGAAGAAAACTCCATCTCACACACAATCATATAGACATGCATGCTCACTCTTCATCCATCCACCAATAAACATTTAATTTTGTGCAATAGGAGAAAAGAAACCCTTTTTATATTTATAATATACAATGTGCAAAAATCAAAATGTCCCCATAATGTATGAAGGTAATCTGATGTATAGTTAAATGATCTTCATAGCTCACATCATCGCTAGAAACTCTAATATGAACTCAGTATTGAAATTTCTAATGGTGGAGAGTAAAATTCTATACTGAAGGGCATAACAACATTATTTTCAAAGAACCAAACAACCACAAGAAAGATGCATCATAAAGTAAAATGAAGTCAGATACATCACTTACTTGATTCCAAGATCGATGTGCTCTTGAATACCAAATCCAAAGCAGCCGGTGTCACTGAAGTTACGTCTTAATAGCTCGTATTCCTTCACTTTCAAACCACTCTCCAAAAGTTGCATTGCTTTATCTCCCCTAACAGTAACATAGCATGCAATCTTCTCATTACGCCTAATCCCAAATGACCGTACGGTGTACCTTGCTGTACCAATCCCCACAAAAGGTATTATAAACATCAAGGTAGTGCATGTGGGCTAAAAATATACAAAACCAAAACCAAAGGTTGATATGATCGTCTATGCTAAACTCAAGATTGCATTGTATAAAGATATGATCAAATCATGATGGTAGATATCTTGAAACAATCTGACCAAGCTTCTATAGTCCACAAAATATCGATCGATAAAGAGAAACATCGATGCTTAACCCCTTGTCCCATGAAAGGTTGAGAAGCATTGTAGCCGGTTAAACATAAAATGACACTCCTCAACAAATATGGTCTCCTAAATTTATAGGACTGTGAGGGTTAATCGATCAAGTGGGTCATTCTACTAAAATGATGTCTTCCTCAAAGCTCTTTGAGATTATGATGCTTGTATTGTCATCCTACAAACTTAATAGAAAATGCATCAATATCTCTAACATTCTCATGTAAAAATAAGGCGAGATCAATATGAACTTAACAGAAACTATGATGATTTCTTAATTACAATTTAGCAAGAAAAAATCTAATTAAGAAAAAAAATGGAAGTAGAAAAGGTTGTAAAACATATCTTACCCTTAGAAAAAACAGGCGATTGACCACTCAATTGCTCCAAAACCTAATTCAAGTTTCTATCAACAGATTAGGGAAACGAATCAGCACAATAAACAATAGATAGATACAAAAAAGAAATCGCTGCGACCTTGGCGGCACGAGTGAGACGATCGCCACTTTCACCGACGGAGATGTTGAGAACAAGTTTTTGAACCTTAATCTCTCTCATTGGATTGGATTGCTTCCTCTCTGAAGCCTACATCACAATTCATTCAACAAAATCACAACAAAAATTAACAGTTCCAATTGCATCAAGAACAAGAGAACGTCATCCGTACCATTGTTGCTGCGAAGGTTTACGGCAGGAGGAGGAGGAGGAGGATATGAAAGAGAAAAAAGGGTTCTTATTAGGGTTTTGTTAAAGAAAAGCACCAGCGAAATGACATATATACCCCTGTCACAATAAAGAAAATTTTAAAAAATAATACACAACTAGACTACAATTGATATTGGTTAAATGATTAGCATAAAAAAACTTGCTAATTTCTTATTGGTTTTGTAATTTAATCCCGGATGACACATACACATTAAGAATGGCAGTGATCGCTAACCCGGCCCGGTCCAACCCGGAATTGTCGGAGGACCGGGACTAGTAAGGACCAGTTAAAGGACCGAAATCTGGGATCGGTTATGGATTTGAGGTGTTTTGTGGGACCGGTTATGGACCGCCTTGACGCGGCTTGATTTTTCAAAAATGTAGTTTTTTTTTAAATGTACTCGTTATTTTTCAAAAAACTAGTTGTTCATCACCGTTTTTTGGCCCTTTTTGTATTTTTTTTTTTTTGCATTCTAAACACTATATATAAATGTCTTGGTTGAGGGGTTTACATACCAAGTTATCGATTCGCAAAAAACGCAAAAAAAAAAAACGTTCACAATTCTCGGTTTCTCGCTATATTTTGTAAGACAATGTAATTTTAATTATAATAAAACGCATTTTTAAAGTGTATTTGAGTGGCCTAATTATAAAATGTTATAATGTATTAAAAATATAAAAAATATTATTTTTTAATGACCGTGACCGGGACCGGTTATGGCGGGATCTGTTGAGACTCGGGACCGGTAAGGATCGGCCCGGCCCGAGACCGGTTTTTAGCCATCATTAAAGGACGAAAATCAAATGAGAATAAAAAAAATGTCATGAACCATAAAAATTGATTTAAACCATAAATTAATTTTAATTTATGGCCATTAAAGGCAATGGCAATTTTAAAATAGGGCAAATTGCATGAAAAAGTAACGTACTTTAACTTGATTCATATTTTGGGTAACATACTTTCAAAACTTTCATTTTGGTACATAAAATGTAAAGTTTTAAACATTTAAGTAACCGGGTAACCCGGTGAAGACTAATTTTAGACTAAAAAAAAGACTAATTTTAGATACAAAAAAATCCACGTCACGGACCACGTCAGCAAATAATACCGAGTTGGATACCACATCACTCGCCACATCAGCATGATAATCGGTTAATACTTCAACCAGTTACCCGGGTACTTAAATGTTTAAACTTTTACATCTTAGGTACCAAAATGGAAGTTTTGAAAGTACGTTATCAAAAATATGAATCAAGTTAAAGTACGTTACTTTTTCATGTAATTTGCCCTTTAAAATAATTTAAAACTTTATGATTTATTATAGAATAAATTTGAGCTAAAAACACTCAAGAAAATACCCCAAATATAGAGTTCAAAACACTCAAGAAACATATCTCTTCAAGAAATTGAAATCTTCTATCCAAAACTCTACAATGGAGGTCTTTATTTCTAAGATAAACCTTGATTTCAACCACACTTAAGAGATCTTCAGACTCCAGCCATAGATCTTCGATAGCCATGTTAATCTTTCTATTAGCCCTCAAAAACCTTCAAGATTCGTCCCCAATAGTGCCAAAATCGCCTTCAATGAAAAGAGAAACGAAGAAGAGGGGGTGAAATGGCAAAATATAACTTAAATGGGGTTTTTAACCCATTGGGGGACGCAACTTTCCAAGCGATTTAAGTATCTTGGACAGTTCCCGAGTATAAAACCCTCTTCAAAGCCTTAGGTGACTTGGGATGCGACCCAAGTCACCTGGCAACCCATCTGTTTTGTAATTGTCTTTTGATTTCTTGAGCAATCAAACTTGCATGGGAGGTCCTGTAACACCCTGAGTGACTTTCGACACAACCTTTCCTTCACCACAACTCGACCACACCCCTTGATTTAAATGTCACATGCATCCAATCATGGATAAACACCAAAATGGCTTCTTAAAACAAGTGCACACCCCTATATTATGAACCGTTAAAACGCAGGTGTTGCATATAGCTTTTTACTCGTCACACATAAAAGGCATCCTTTTTTTAATTCTTCAACCACAAATATTGAGGTTAATGGGATCTATTTTTATAAGCAGGGATCTTAAGGACACCATCGATTGTCTACAAAATCTCCAGTTTGTGATCATACTTTTAAGTTATCGACCGCATGCTCTTCAAATTCAATGTCAGTTAGTTGCGGGTACTTTACGTACTTCTCTATCTAGATTGATAAACTTTTGACATCCTAGAACTCCAATTACAACCATCCAATTCCAAAACAACATTGTAAGGAAAAAAAAAAGACGTTGACATTTGAATTAGACGCAACACAGTAATGTCAAAAAATTGAATATGGAAAAAGCAAAAATCATAGTCAATTAAGTTTTTGTCAAGATTCATCGAACTACTGTCAAGATAATCAATTTGATTGTCCTCGATCACTTTTCGACCATCATGGCATCATCTCTACCCTATGTACTTACCCATACCATATTTTTTGGAGGTTTCTTAAAAGAACTTGTTCGGTCTACTTTGTTTTGGATGATTCGGATGGGAATGAAGCTTTTAAGAGCAGTGGAAATAGTATAAAAGAGAAAGGAGGGAAAAAAATGGGAGGGCCTCTAAAAAGTGAACGAGAAAGGTATTTTTGCGCTGAAAAAAGGTAAGCATGTGTTTTTTTTTCCTAATAATTGGATATAAGAAATATTATTTCTAATATATGATGTAAGAGCATATGTTTTACATACAGGACCTTATTAAGCATAAAACTCAGATTTTCGATGTGATTTGGGTAAAAATGAAAGTAGAGATGGCCGACCTGGGGTCCTAATAACTCTCATTTTGAGTGTTATTTATACATCATTTGTGTGAGTTTTTCTAACATTTTAGTTGTGTTTCTCTTTACATGTTCATGGTTCTTCATTATATTATTTTATTTTCATTTGGAGCTACTGAGGAAGTTTTTATGGTCATATGCATCATTTTTGGGTTAAATGTTGGACTAGGAATTGTGCCAATTGTGTCACCACTATGGTGGACGATGTTAATTTAAGGACAACTGAAATATCATTTTTGCAAATAATCTTATGCTTATTTCAGCTACATTACGGTAATATTGAAGGTTAAAGTTTATATACAAAAGACGGTGAAGATAAGATTTGAAAAAGTATTGAAGATATGGATAAGATTTCATGAAGGCATTTTTGGTTACATGGAGCCTCTTCAAAAGAAAAGAAGACTAAAAATAGCATAGGAGGAGGCTTTGGACTTTGGGGTTTTAAAAGGTTTCACAACTTTTAGAAAACCTTGGGGGGCGTTTGGTTTGTCGGAATCCGCTGGAATCTGGTGGAATTGGAATGGTCAATTCCGTTGATCGAATTTCATTCCAATGTTTGGTTACCTATGGAATGGAATTGAATTCTAAAGATTCCATCATTTGAGGATTTCACCATTCCTTCCTAAAACTAATGGAATTGAAATCCATTCCATCTGAAAATATGTAAATAACAAAAATATCCTCATGATTAGTGCTTGCTTTCGATTTCTGCTTGCTTGCTTCCGATTTCTTCTTATCAAACACAAAAATCAAACCGATTACTGCGTGCTTTTTTATTTATGCTTATGATGCTCTCGATCGATTACTGCATGCTTCCGATTTCCTCATTAAATTTTCAAACAAACCAGATCTAGGTTCATTGTCGCCAACATTCTCTAAACCCCTTCCCTCTTTGAAGCTTCAGCCTTGCAACTCCATAAATCTAAAACCAGATCTAAGAACGAGAAAAACCTAAAACGAAAAATTGGTTCTGCTGTGGTTGTGGCGGCATCGAAAGGTAGAAGAAAGGGCGAACAAACGATGACCATGGAGGAGGGAGAGGGTGGTTGTGTCCCCATGGTGAGTTTTTCCAACCTATAGCCGACGAAACCTGTGTAGCACGGTCATGGTAGGGGAGGCCAGAGATGAGAGCATAGAAGGGCGGGGTGAGAGTGGGGGTCGCCTAGGATGAAAGAGATTAAACATTTTAATTAATTTTTGAAATTTTATTAAAAAATTTATTGCTTCCAATTAAATGTTAATTTTATTGTTATTTGTAATTAAAAAAATAATTTAAAAAAAATATCAACGAAAGGGTATTTTTGTCTTTTTTCATCATTCCATTCCAATTCTGCTGCAAACCAAACAGGAAGATTCCAATTCATTAGACATATTAAATTCCATTCCTGTCAACCAAACACTTGGTCAAACCGGATAACATTTTATTTTAATTCATTTGACAGATTTCATTTATTCAGAAACCATTCTGCAAACCAAACGCCCCCTTAGATTAATGGAGGTGTTTCATCTCCCTTTTTTCCAATGGGTAAAAGGATGTCCATCTCTCCTTCCCCCATATGAAGAGATCATGGGTGAAGCATTGAAGAAGAGAGTTTGCATTAATTAACAGTAGTTCATCCATAAAAAATGGTTTTAAAAGTTTCCGTCAAATGCTTTATTTATACTATATTATAAAGCATTTGACAAAGACTCTTAAAAGCCATTTTTTATACATTAAAAACCGTTTATTAATGCATATTACTTAAAATTCAAGATTATAAGTAAATTGTGTGTATATACAACTTATTAAGACTCCAAGTTTGAATTCGTGTAACTAATTGTAAATAAACATAATTAAATATTGGATATATTTCCCATTTTAAATATAAAAAATATTTAATTTTATACTAAAATGATACATTTTTTTAAAAATTATATGATATCTTTAAATTTATATTATATTTA